GGGCTTGGCGAAACCTCGCCGGCTGAGAGCTCGGTGCTCCTGCCGCCGCTGCGGCAAAAGTCAGCCTTCCCGAGGACCGAATCCTCTCATTTTTATCCTTTTTATTTTCAAGCGAGACACACCCTAGTCACCTCCGCCCCCCCGCCCCTCCGTTTGCAAGGTGCTTATTGGAGCATCTTCCCAAGTGAGCCCGGGCACCCTGGTTCCTCTTTCCTCCATGGGATGCAGCACCACCCCCTTTGATCTCAGTGAAGGCGCAGAGGGCTTGCTTAGGCATGCTCCTGATGGAGAGAGCCTTGCCTCGGGCTAATGAAAGCAGCTCACAAGACATCTCACTCTTATGGTGCTGCCAGGCTCGTTGGTGGGACTGGAAAGTATCTCCACAAGTAAGGGCTCCAGTCCCAGCACTTGGACTAGTGGGTCGCCCTTCTGAGGAGCAGCCAGAGGGGCTGAAGGTACTGTGCTCCGTGTAGAGCAAAAGAATGGAACCATGCGGCGGGTCCACGGAACCTGCCCTGAAGTGCAGGAACATTTCAGAAGTCAAACAAGAAGACCAGGATCCCCGCTGCTGAGGCCTGAACTAGGGCTGCAGAGTATCTGTGGAAGGATCCTGCAGCCAATGTGAAGAGGCATGGATTTGGCTGAGTTGCCTGCAGAATCCAAGGAACGGAGCCCTGTCAAATGTATAGGTGGATGAACATGACAAATGTTAAAAAAGAAAAAAAAAAAAAAAAAAAAAAAAAAAAAAAAGAAGAAAGATAAAGAAAAAAGAGGCCTTGGCCTCATTAACTTTGCTCATCACAATTTGAAATTCCAGTAGAAAAAAAGTGTTGATGTTTCAGAACTCGGAAGACTTCTAAAGGCTCAATCTGTCACTAGAGCAGAAAACGCCAACGCAAGCATCACTGCCTTTCCTTTTGCCACGGAAGCTCCCTCCAACTTGGCTGGCCTTGGCCTTGCAGGGTAGCAGGAGCCAAGGAGCCGTCCCCTTTCTCACAGGGTCCAGGGGACTGAGCCAAGCTAGGAGGGAGAGAGGTTTTTTGTCTTCCTAAGACATTTGGTTTTCAGTTTTGCGAAACCTCAAGAATTTAAAAAAATAGCTAATGAAGTTCAAAAAACCTCAGATTCTACTGAGTCTACTCATTCCCCCCACTGTATTAAGACTTAATCTTTATATCTATATATGTAGCTGTATGGTGTGTTTTCCACATGACTTCGAACAGCACTGACACAGCTCTTGTCTGGAAGCTGCTCTGGGTTTACAGTTGGAGAAGAGAGGGCAGCAAAGTGCTTAAGAGACTTAGAAGGTATCTTTGAGATAGTGCAGCTTACTATTGCTACATCCATATACGAACACTTTTTACAGTGGAATTTTTAAGTCAGTAAAAGGACGGTGAGAAGTAAAGAGACACATTTTCTTCTTTAACCAGCTACCTCATAACAAAACTCCTATTTCCATCTCTGTGGGCGTTGCGGGAATGAAGAATTGATAGCATATTGTTTCAAGCTGAGTGATTTATATACAGGATGATGACCTTTGAGAAGACAGATTTGGTTCTGTTCTTTCCACGACTGTGAAAGTGCTCACTGCTCACTTTCCCCTGCCCACCTTGGAAGAGGTGAACATCCTCTTCTTTCCAAGATTCCTGATGGAAAGGCTCACAGGAATGAATGCACACTCTGCTTTCCCCGGCTAGCCAACGTACGCATGCAAACATTGGAATTATGTTCATGTTTCTCAATCTGCCTGCTTTTTTAGTACAGAGGGAGCATTGGTAATCAGAGACATAATAGTCAGATTTACTGACATTTAGGCACGCTAGTGAGGAACTGGTAGTTCTCATACTCCTGGTTCTCTGTAGTGTTTTACCTTTCATTGTGTTTTGCTTCAGACTGGCACATCAGGCATGAGCACAGGTCCTTAACTTCTCATTTCTTTATGCACCTCCCTTTGCCTTTTTCAGTCTACTGTTTGGGGTTTTGCTTTTTTTTCCTTCTGCACCAGGCCTAGGGCACTTCCATTTTGGATCATGTGAGGATGGTGCAAGGTAATGTGCATTACTGAAAACCCCTGGGAATGGCAGGATTCTGGTATGGCACTATCTCAGAAAGGACCGTGATTTGATGGATCTCCACCAGATAGTCCTTGGTTTTGCCTAGGAGTTTATCACTGATATTCTGACTTAGCTTAGCTCGGGGCAAGACTCGAACTCTCCTACATTAGCGGAAGTCCCACTAAAGAAGTGGAATACACTATACACACTAGAAATTTTTTTTGGACTGCTTTTCTGATAAAATTGAAGCTACTGTGGCATGATGCCAGAAGACAAATTCCATGCTGGGTGAAATCCTGATCAACTTTATTTTTCTTTTCCTACAAAAGCATCCCCACTAATTGAAATTGATCTAATTGCATGGATATGATGAGGAGTCCTTCAGGTCTTATCCCGCAGTCCTGGATGCTCACCTGATGCTGAGAAAGAGTCTTTCTGAGATGCTGTCCTATAGGCATGAAGAATTTTTCAGTTTTTTCCTCCTGTGGTGAGGTTTGATTTTCATCATTCAGTGTATCAGGATTCCAAAACTGAAACAGATGACTTCAGATCAGCCTGTGACTCAGCCATTTAGTTTTTTGAATGAGCTTGTAGTGATAGGGAGAGAGACCTGGGTGGTTCCTCAGACAACATGTTGTAAGCACTCCGGCTAAATGCAGATTTTGAATACTAGAGTAGATTACACAAGGGACAGTGAATTCATCTATGATGAGGGAGAAAGCTATTTTTGACAAATTTTTATGTATGCTTTAGTTTAAGTACTGGTGCATAGTTAGAAAAAAATGGGCCTCGTAATCAGGTACTTAGTTTTCCATTCTTTGATTCAGAGGGAGAAGTGTTTTATTTCCAGCCTTCCTTAAATAATTTCCAGGTATAACATGTATCCAGACACAAATGCTAACATATTCTGTCAGAACAAATGGCCATGGGCTGTACAAGTACTAGCTGGTATATTTTTACAATAAATTTGTCAAAGAGGGAGATCTTGCTACCTCCCGTTTACAAACCTCGTCTTTACTCAGCAAAGTACTTGCACATAAAGGCTTGTTCAGTGGTGTCAGCAGGAGAACTCTGAGTTTAAAGCTAAACACATGTTTAAGTGTTTTGCTAAATTGGTTCCTACATGATTTAAGTGGTGTCACACAGTAACTTATGGAAAGAGCCTTAAGTGGAGCCCTAGACTTCTAACTCACAGTCGGAAACTTTAATCTGGAAACTGTTTGTTCCCTGTCCTTACAGTGCATATGACAAAACAAATACCCACCTACAAACAGTTAAATGTGTCCTTGAACATTTTACAGAATTCTTGTATTCTTTCCTCACATGTGAGCTGCTAAACATGTTAGGGCTGCCAAATATTTTCAGCCTCCAAAAAGGAACATTCCCCTACCAAGTGCAATGCAAATGAGCACTGAAAATGCTCAGTAAATCCCAGGCTGTTTCTCTGGGTTCCAAAAAAAACCCCTTTTACTAGATCTGGAACAGATTTATTACCCAAAGACCTGCTTTTATTA